CTACTAAAAACAGAAAAAATTAGCTGGGCGTGGTAGTGTATTCCTCTAGTCCCACCTAATCAGGAGGCTGAGGCAGGAGGATCGCTTGAGCCCAAGCGTTTGAGGTTGCTGTGAGGTAGGGTGATGCCACAGCACTCTAGCCAGGGCAATTGAGCAAGACTCTGTCTTTAAAAAAAAAAGTGAGAGAGAGAGAGAGAGCTAGAAACAATAATACAGACAGCTAATGTCTTTTTAGAGCTACTTAGGTACTATGAACTGAATGTGCCCCTCAAAATTTATTTGTTGAAATTAATCACCAATGTAATAGTATTCAGAGGTGGGGCCTTTGGAATCTGATTAAGTCATTACAGTGGAGCCCTCCGGAGTGGAATTAGTACCCTTGTAAAACAGGTGTGAGGAGCTGCCTCCCTCCCTTTTGCCCTTCCGTACCTCCCACTATGTGAGGACACAGCACTCTTCCCTTCTGAGTGATGCAACAACAAGGCACCATCTTATAAGGACAGAGAAGCCCACACCGGACTCAAAACCTGTAGGTGCCTTAATCTTAGACTTCCCAACCTCCACAACTGTGAGATATAAATTTCTACTTATAAGTTACCTAGTCTGTAATATTTTGTTATAGCAGCTCAAATGAAATAAGACATTATGTGTTAGGCACTACTTTGTGTGTAACATCTATCAACTTATTTAATCCTTGCAACAGCCATATGAAAGGTAGTACTACTGTTATCCCTATCATACATATGATGAAATGAACATGAACAACTTCAGTGACTTGGTCCAATTCTAATAGCTATAATATCACAGAAGTGGTTACAGACCCCAGAAATCTGCATCCAGAATCAGTGCTCTCCAATGTGATGTCATCTTCTTCCGAAAGTCTAAAGAGCAGAAGAGTGCATGCATGCACATTATAACCCAAGGTATCAAAATGATAAAAAATGGCAAATATTTCAGTTTTCAAAGAGGAGGAAACTATGTTATGAAATATTCCGGAAAACAACTTTAAATAGGTGATTAAATGATATTTTATTAATACTTGGGGAAGGAAATGTTGATCATGTAGAGTAAGTATTGTTCCCCCAAGAATGAATTATACCAAAAACTCAACTCATTATATTATCTTCATGGTTGCTATAACTGATAGAATATGAATATAACATAGGCTTATTATACCTTGATATCGGCAAACATCTCTTTCTTATTTTAAAAGATTTTAAAAGTCTTCAAAATGGTTTTATAAATGAAAGTTAAATAAAATCTTGATGACTTAGTGTGAATAAATTCATAGATAGTTATAATCCCTCAAAAATGTTTATAAGTGAATCAATACAAAGATGAATGAATGTCGTTAGATGATGCACAAAAAATTCTGCATTTCAGTTAAAATTATCCATTAATCAAGCATAGAATAGGGAGGCCTGAGAAGGAATTTATGTTTTAAAAATGCTAAAAGTTTTGCTGAATTAAAATTTTAATGTGATTCAAAGATCACTATTGTCAAAACTTCTTATGCAATTGCAGAATATGTTATCAGAAATACAGTGTACAGGACAAGAGAGGTAATAGATTACATAATTCCAAGATCAAATCTGAACAATTATGTTTCACCTGGGTGACACATAATGAAGGGAAATAATCAGGAGGGAAATCTGGATGGTAAAAATTTGGACATTTAGTGAATAACTAAGAGAAATGTAATACGTAGAACAGATATATGTGTGTGTTCCAGATGTATTGAGAATATGTTGATCTCTTTTTGAGAAACAGAACAACACAATCTGATTCATGTTTTAACAGAATTACTCTGTCTGTTATATTGAGACAAGAGCAGAGGAGATAGGATGGAAGCAGGAAGACAAGATAGGTGGTAATGATGCAGAACAGAGAGGAAGGTTACCTGAATTGGGGTGATTCAAAATGGTGAAATGCTGTATCTTTTTGGCTTTACCATATTTTTAAAGGTAAAGGCAGCGAGATTTGGTGGTATAACATTTAGGGTGTGAAACACCACACACCAAGGTATTTGACGTAAACTGCATTTTATCCATAGCATAATTTCAGATTTTAAAGGAACCTTAGAAATATTCTAATCAAAGCTTTGATTTTTTTAAAGGAATCCTGTCTGCAACAACTTGCTCTTTCTTGAATACTTCAGTGACAAAAAACTCACTACCTCACACAGCACCTATATCATTTTAGAATAGCTCTGCTTTTAAAAGCTCTTTTCTTACGCTTACTTATGCAATGAGACAAAGCGTACCTCTCTGTGATGGATGAATAAGAAAAGATGAAGATACTGGTAGGAAGGTAGGTAAGAGAAAAGGAAAGAGAAATTATGTTTGTTTCTTCACTGGTATATCCTCAGTACACAGAATGATATGTGTCATTAGCTGTGTAATAAATATTTTTCACTGAGCAATTTGGAGGAAGAGTGTTGGGTCATAATGATGTGAACATAGGATATTAGTAAGAATACAATTTTAATGTTTTTTTTTATTTTCTATGCTTACGTATGTGTCTTGGTGACTGAGTTTGTATATGATGATAGTGGTTTTAAACAAATGAAGAATACTATTGCATTCCAGTTTACAGTTTCTTGGAGCTCCAAATCTCAACTATATTTAAATATATCATACCCTTCAAATAAGGAGTGATATATAAAATATGTATGGGTACAATGTGGCCACCAACTAATCCAAATGGATGCCAGCTAGACTGGTGCATATCAGCTGAATATCAGCCTGCTTCAAACTATGGGAGAATCAAGCTTTTAGAGTGTTGAATTTAAATAGTACGTATTTCTATTTTGTCTTTATTGTAATGAACAAGCCCTGTCTTTAGCTCCTGCTGTGCACTTTTGGAGGGTCTTCCATATGGTTGCTGCTAAGTATTTTGGCATTTTCCCAATTGTTACAATTGGGTCAGTGGGGGGGATTGTATAGGAGTAATAAAATAAGGGTGACTGCAGCAGGGAGGAGTACGATTACTACACACATAACAGCTTATCGCCTCTCATGCATTCAAGCACAGATCTGCGCCATTCATTACAACAGGCAGTCAGGGCCAACTGCCATAGAGATTACTCCAGAAAAGGCCACGTTTTGGGTGCAGAGACTGTGTCTCCTCACATTTTTTCCTAATGTTTCCTTACTTCACTCTCCCACAATATCTAGAATAACTTGAGGAGGAGCAAAATAATTATACCTTACATATCACTTTGTCATTCTAAGAAAGTTTTCTTGAACAGATTCTTAGCTAAATTTTATCAGCAGCCGCCTTATCAGTGGCTATGAGAGCTTTGATATTTTATGAGGGGAAAAAATGGGGAAGGCAAGTATGGGTCCCAAATACATAAAAATTCTTGAGACATAATTCATAAATCCAGAAGTGCTTAGCAATATTGACACGATTACTGGAGTGTATTCCCTATCAGAAATGAAATCCATGAAATAAAATACTACTATTATTTTTATCCTGTGGAAGGCAGTATTGCTTAAAGCAGCAGTGGATTGGGAGGAAAAGTTCAACGCTAAATTAAGATTCTTTAGAACGAAATAACACATTAAACAGAGATATGTGTGTATACGTGTACACACACATGATTTCCATATTTACAGTCCTACATGCAAGGATTCTTTAAATGATTCATTACATTATTCCTTTAATATGATATGGAGTTGTTTCCCCCTTCCCTGTCCTCCTGCCTCCCCATCAAACACCAATATACAGGTATGCAGAATTCTAATAGGATCACGGTATAACCTTGAAATTTTCTGAGTCATGATTTACAAGAAATCAATAGAGTTGGAGACATTCAACCCGGTTTATAAATGTGTGGATTTTTTATTTTTTCATGTTTCCGGCCAAGAACATTAAAATGTTCCATTAAGAAACTTGCTCTCATTCCCTTCCTCCTCGCGCCATCTCCAACTCTAGACACCGCATTCCCGAAACCCGCGCCGGGTCGGGTCGTCCGAGTCCCGGGACCCCGGGTGGCGGGTGAGCGCCTCGGGTACCGCAGGGGCCTGTGCGGGCGGGCGCTGGGGAGGGCGCTGAGCGAGTGAGTGCGGAAAAGAGCGTGAATTCCAGGGACAATCGCCAGTGCGGAACTCGGCGTTTCTACCAGCCCCTGCTATTACGCACGTAAGAAAATATTAATACCGACAGCAACCGGACGGTGACAGATCAACGCGGAGTGGGTCCAGGCGGTTCCGGGACGACCCACGCTTGTTCTGCTGTCCCTGGGGTACCCCTAATTCCAGCTTCTCCCGGGGCAAGGAGGAAAGCACTAAGCAAGGCTGATCTCTGTTCTCAATCAGCCAAGGACCTGAGCGGAGAGGCCCCCTGCCACGGCCCGCCGTCTCCCGCGCTCTTCCACCCGCAGGAACCCCGGCCTCGCCTCGCCGCGACCCCGCAAGCGGGAAGAGAGGGCAGCCGCCGAAGTGAGGGAAGTGGCGGCGGCTTCAGGCGCCGCAGTGCGCAGGCGCGCGCCCAACGCGCAGGCGCCGCCTAGAAGTGACTTCTCCAAAAAGTGTCTTAGTTCCTAGTCACCTGAGCTCGCGGCGACTCGGCTGCGGTAGTTTCGCGGGTACACGCCCTCCGCGGGTCCTGCCTGGCGACCCTGCCCCTCTCCCCCTGGCCCTTCAATCCTCCACCCCGAACCCGCCAAGGGCCTGTCCTTTTCCTCTGTCCTTTCCCTGTCTCGGGCCGGACCGGGCCAAGCCGGGCCGCCAGGGCGCGGTCCCTGACCATGGCGTCCCTCTTCAAGAAGAAAACCGTGGATGGTGAGTTCCAGGCCGGGCTGAAAGGGCCCAGCTCTGCGTTTCCCCAGCGTCTCTTGGGGGCTTTCGGCTGCGATTCTGGCTGCTGTCTAGGAGCTGGTTTGAGTGGCCCCACAGGTGACCGCGCTCGCTGCGTCACTTCTGCGCTTCCCCATCTCTTCTGACCCCACCTCAACCTCACCTGGCTGAGCTGGCTTCTTCCTTCTGATCACACTTCCCCCGCCCTCCTGTTTTCCTCAACAGGATCCTACTTCGCAGGAGGCAGGGTACTGCTAGCCCTTGAGGGTCATTAGACTCGGTGATTTAATGAATTTCTTGTTGGTTTCTTCTGCTTGATTTGTTACTCTTCGGTTTGGAGATGTACTACTTCTAGGCATCCGGCCAGGAAAGCTGTCTTGGAGTAGGGGGAGGGGATAATGGGCTCCAGTTACAAAATGAACTTGGGTCTGGGCAGGTTGCCCCTTTAGGACACTCTGTCAGTAGTGGTGTGAAACAAATGCTTCTTGATTGACTCCAGTAGAAAAATCAAAGAAACCCAAGGGGAGTGCCCAGATTTAGTTTTCATAATGGATTTTTCTCCCTTTTGATCATCTTTTGCTAACTAAAGTAAAAGATGGGGTATGTATTATCTGCACGGAAGTTTAAATTTTAGATATTTGCCTTGTTTCACACATTTAGCTCAGCATCATCTTAAGACGGGAAAAAAGTGAATACAGGAATGTACACATTTTGTGGTGTTAATATGCAGTGCCTGTAATATATTTATATAACACTGATTAATTAGTCTTAATTTTCATTGACTGCTACCAGGACTTAAATTCATTCAAGTTATTTATAAATTGTGTTTCCCAATACATGTTGAGTCTAGGTTGTTCCTGATTCAACCAAAGAATCACTTCTTTGTAAGGGTCTAACTCTGCCACAAAAGGAGCAGTGGTAGCTAGACAGTGATTGGTACAAATAGGGTGCTCGATCCAGTCCTGGGAGTAACTCCTTCATTCCTTTGTGTTGACTGTTCCAATGCCAGCAAAATTATTTTGGGAAGGACAACAAAGACATCAGCTTTACCCTCCTGCTCTGCTCTTCAGTGCACCGCATAAATACCACCTTAACTTTAATTCATCACACAGCATTATGCATTTTTGCTTATTCTGGGTAATTGAAAAAATTTGAAAAAATATTTTTTTGGTTTATTAACTTTTTATTAATTGAGAAGTACCATTTGCGATACCTGGAATAATTACCAACTTGGTATATAATGTAACACAATTATGAGAAATGGGTTTTATGTATGTTTCTCATGAGAATGCTGTTTACTCTTTAACATGGCACTTTATTTTTTCACTGTTTCAGCACCGATATTGTGATCTTCACTTATTATACAGTACTCTGTGCATGGAGAGGGGGCTAGGATTTTTTTTTTTATTGTTGCTCGAGTTTTATATAGTGATAATTTACTAAACAGAGGAAAAATGGTTTCATCTCTCTTATTGTGATGTTACACATTGAATTAATTCTTTTAACATCAGAACCCAAATATCCTAGTTTTAACTGCTGTCTGTCTGTCAAATATTTTCAAAGACATAAATCTCATTTCTGTGCTTCCTGATGCTTTTGGCAATCTAGGGACTATTGTACTTAAACTGTAGAGGAAAGAGAAAAAAGACAATGAGGATGTACAGTAAGAGTGTTTTGAGTTAATTCTTCCAAGAAATAATTTTTTTGCTGAATAGACTTATTTGTGAAAAAAGTCTTAAGGCCTTTTGCTAGGAACTATGCCACTAAATTAAAGCTCTATATGTGAAATTTCTGAATGTAAATTTGGCCACCATGTATACTTACCATAACTACCAAGCTGCATACTTGATGTTTTTTAAAAATTATGTCAATTATTTACTGACATTTTAATTATAGATCTGTATTTTCATTATTTTAATATAGAGCTTCACTGTTTTTACTTCTCATTTTATTACAAGAAAGGTTTTGAGTTTTGTTTAAAAAGTGGCAGCATTCTGCTTAGCAGTAATGAGGCTATGTATTATGAAATTTAATGTATTTTCATGCATTTCTCTCAGATCCTTGGATGTGTTGATTATTGATCATAAGATCTTTTATTGTATGCTGACTTTTTATCTGTTCCAGCAGTAATAAAATTCTGATATATGAGCAAAATATGTAACTGCTTATAGATCTGGGGAATAATTGAATCTTTTTGTCTCTTTGGATTGGCTGGAAGAGTTATATACTGTATCGTTAAAGACTACTGCACATGTAAATTAAAAAGGGCGACAACATTACAGCCCTTATTACTATTCAGAGTTATGTTTAATTCATTTTTGACACAAAGATGAACAAGTCTCTGCAGTGTATACTTTGTTACAGAAATTAATGAGAGGTGTACCTCAATGCCATTGAAGAGAAGGATTCTTGTGAACTGAAATTGCAATTGAGTACTATTTGGTTTTCCTTTTACTAACTGTAAGATATATACATATATATTGTTAAAATGTACATGGACAGTGTTTATTTTTTCCCTGTGAGACTGTGACCTATTTATTGAAGCTAATTATGAACCTGTAAATCAAGATCCCATGAGAACTTGTCATAAATGCATAACTAAACGTGCCCTTAAAAAAGTGAAGTTCTTTAAGCATTATATAATTTTTGTTTGTTGTCCTCAGTAAAGACAAATTTGAGATCCAACTCTTAAGGCAGCATTGTGTTAAGCATTTTGCATACACTATCTTATTTAATTTTCATAAAACCTGAGATAAGTACTATTATTGTCCTCATTTTATAGATGAGGAAATTGAGAAGCAAAGGACTCAGTAACTTGCCCAAGATCATACAGCTGCTAAGTGTCAGAGCCAGGACCTTGTCACTTTATGTATTATCATTGTTATTTTTTTTCTTACTAGAGATCAATCCATGGCACAGTTTAATTTTGTTGTTCTTGTTAAATACGAGTACGTAACTAGCTTCAATAAATAGGTCACAGTTGGAATTCTCAACTTTTGGTTGATGCCATGCAGTGTTTACATTTTGTATGTGAACCAGACTCTTTTATTTTGGAATTAGTAGCAGAACTTTAATTTCTAATGGTGGTAGAACTGGAAATACCTCTCCTTTCCCTGACTCTCCCTAGACCCAGCATTACTTAGGAAATATGGTCCAGTCTATTTTTGCTCTTCATGTGAACCTCTTGAAGGAGTGGTAGTGTCCTAACCCTACTTCTTAGATGCCTCCCATTCTGTAACAGTTTGCTTTGTATTGCATACAATGAGGTAAATCTTGCTTAGAACATCAATGACCTCTAGATTGTCAAATCTAATGGCCAATTTTTTAGTGATCATCTCAAGTCCGTGTTTTGCATTTGGTTCTGATAATTTTTTCTTTGAAATTCTTTGACTTCCATGACATAACTCTCTTAATTTTCCTCTGACCAATCCTTTTCTTTCTTCTTTCAAGTTTTTCTTTTTTCTTTTTTTTTTAACTTACTCCTTAAATGTTAGTGTTCTTCTTGGTTCCGTCCTGGGCTACCACTGTTTTAATTGTACATTCTCTCCCTGCGTGATCTTTATTCACTTATATTTTAGTTATAACCTAAGTGCTGATGGATCCCCAATTTATATGTTTAGATATAAATTGAGTTTCAGACCAGTATGTCTAACAATTTGCTGAATATCTGTACCTGGATGTCCCACAGTACCTCAATTTAAAGATCCCAAATAGAATTCAACGTCATTTCCTTTAAAATTTCTTTCCTGAGTTTTCCTCCTCCAGTGTTCTCAATACTTGAGGTTGTCCTCTGCTTTCAACTAATTACCAAATCCTTCTTCTTTTGCCTTTTAAATATATGACACATATGATTTTCCTCTGTGTGCCTGAAACTCTTTGCTGTAATTCTTGTCCTACTTATCTTCTACTTTACTGCATCACCTATTTACTACATTTCCCTGTAACTTCATAGCCTTTAAATCTTTCATTCACAACGTTGGCTATGTGATTGATAAACCTGCAACCTAAGTCTGACTATGCCGCTCCTCAGTGTAAACCCATTTATTGAATCTCAGGTACTGACAGGACCAAGTGAGTATTTTAATCATGCATGTATGACTCTCCTTGATCTGGCCCTTGTCTTTCTTTCCAGCCATGTCTATTGATATTTTATGGTCCAGCAACATGGTTCTTCTGTTCATCAGTATATACCGTACTCTTTCTTACTCTGACATATTTTTGCTTATGATAGCCTTATGCCTAGAGTTCTCATTTTCCCTTCCTCCAGCTAACCTGACCTATCTCAGGTTTTTTCCTTCTCCAATAGGTCTTCTCTGACACTACCTCAAACTGTGTTAAGAAGAACCCCACTTCTTGTATTGCTGTTTGTAACTTTTGCTTTCTGATGTGCGTTCATTAGAACCAAAGTAGATCCTTCTGCACTTCCAAAGTTGGATTGTGTTTATTCTGAAGCTTTCCTACATTTCATAATTGCAAGGTTTCAGAGTCTTCAGCATATATGAAAATATCTCTGCAGTAGTGTATAATTTAGAGACTCAATCATTAAAATGATAGCATTTACTAATCAAAAGTACTGTCTCCAGAATCCAGAGCTTAGTATAGTCTACATCCACATTATTGCCACCCATTGTGAGCCTTAGTGCAAGCTAAGAGATAATTTGAGGAATGTTACAGACAGAAGAGGAACAAAGATTTTTGATTTTTGCCTCATTAGAAGGATATTCATATGTGCTAGTTTTCTAGAACTTAGAATTTGTGAAGTTTTGACTAAGTTGGGATAAATCTCCTGTGAACAGGTCAGTTATGATGCCACATTTCTGATATGTTAACAGGAAATAGTGACTACAATCTATATAAACTGAATACCCATCTGACACATTTCTTCTTTTTTCCAAAATACAATACAACATTCCCAGGATGGGACCTACAGTATTCAGATCTTTCCTAGGATATTGTGTGTCTGCATAGTGCTCCTTATTCTGAAT